CCATCAGGTCTCTTTTACCTTCAGAGTGTTTTTTAAAGTTCACATTGTTCTGAAAAGAATGAAACTTTGTAGGTACGTTACGAATCATACCAATGATCGATCGATCAAATTATCCCTTATCAAAAATATAATTTTTTTTTTGAAATGCATAAGCAAGCCTAAGCTATAAAGCTTAGCAGAATCCATTCGAGATTAGCCTAGTTATAAAAGGAGCGAAGTATTACTATTAAATATTATGTTATTGGTCACTAGTGCCTAAGGATTATTCTCACTTAAGAATCATATATTAAATATTTTTATTTTGGATTTGACTAGTGGGACTAGGAATATAAAATACACAAGACTTACAAGTATGATTATTGGAAGCCCTATCTTATAGAAAATGGATTCAAATATATAAAGACTTTCTTATTGTACGAAAAGAAAAGGATTTAAGTATAGCGATGGAAGAAAATTATTTACTGTCGAAGAGATCCAAACCTCTTTTTTTGCTAGTACTTAATCCTTCCTTTAGCAATGATTTTTCAAAATTTCTTGCTGAAGTTGAAATTTATGAAAATCTATGGTTTTTATATAGTGATTCTAATGTGGTCTCTAATGCCTCTAATAAAATTGGTGGAAGGTTCTTTTCTTTTAATCGTTCTTGTTTTTTTAGCTCGTTTGATACTTCTTTTCAACTTAAATGATAACTTCAGGTATCTTAATAGACTCACTAGGACAAAGACTCTGGTCTCATTGACATTATCCAAAACAAATTATTTCGTGGGCATGATCAACCTTGTCCAATGTCCTCTCTTCGTTGTAACCTTTTCAATATTGAAACTTTGATTTCCAATTGGACCTTAAACACAAAGGTTCAATTATTGATGATGTTGATATCTTGTGCTTCAATCTCTTAATAATAAACTTATAGTTTTAAATTAATAAAATCTAATTTATTGGTGGACTATAGCTAAAACCCCATGGGTTGGTGATGAGGATAAAAATATAACATATTTTCATAAATTAACTATTTTAAAAGTGGAAAAAATAAAATGCTTTGCCTTCAAATCTCAAGACGGATCTAATTTAACTAACAATAAGGACATTGGTGTTGTCTTTGCATATTATTATGGAACTCTCTAGCAATCTAAGGAGGTTGTCAATAACTTTCCTCTTCCTACTAAATTGTCCATTCCTTTTATAAATCTCTAAGATGATCGAAATCTTAAACCCCTTACGAGATTCCTTTGCTGTCGAGCTTTTAAAACTCTCTTCCAGACAGTCAAATTTAATCTACTTGATGCTTTCAACAAATTCCATAGTCCCTTTCACATTCCCTATGGTTAAGGGGGAACTTTCCTTGTCTTCCCTATCTAAAACGAGATAACTATTGAAAAGCAGAAGATTCTTAACCTATTGCTATTTATAATTTTCTTTGCGAGCTTCTTCCCAAACTTATTGCCAATTATCTTAAACTCTCTATTAAACAATCTCATATCTTAAGAATAATTGACTTTCATATCAAGTAGAAACATTCATGATAACATTCTTATAGCCGACGAGTTAACCCGAGGCATTCCAAAAGCTCTAAACCTCTTACTCTCGTCAAGATTGATCTTGCTAAAGCTTTTAATATAATTTATTCCAAAAGCTCTAAACCTCTTACTCTCATCAAGATTGATCTTGCTAAAGCTTTTAATATAATTTATTGACATATCGTTTTTCACAATGTTCCATTCACAATGTTCTCATCTCTCTTATTGATTCCAAGGATACAAAGAGATCCATCTTGGTGATCCTTTGCCCTCTTATATTTTCATTATTACCTAATAACTTCTCTCTAGCATATTCAACCATATGGTTTCTCGAAATAAAATTTTCCCTTTTCAAATCAAAGGGATTCCTATTAGTCACCTTATGCTTGTCGATCACGTCTTACTGATTTTTAGAGCAAATAAAGCCACATGCAACTCCATCAATTAAACAATTTATGCTCTTCAATCACAAATCTAAAGGTTAATATATCTACATCTAATCTATATTTTCCACCCAATTATAGTAGTGATGACAAACATAGAATTTATACTTTCTTGGGTATCTCTATTGGGGATTGGCTTATGAAATATTTATATTCTTTCCTATCAACTAGTAGAATCTCTAAAAGATTCCATAAGTTCTGGTAGATAAATTTCTAAGCCGAGTCGAATACAAGATCGATCCAATTTTTTCTTTTCTCAAGCCAGAAAAATTGTTATCAACAACTCGGTGATTAACTTAAGACACATGCATTCTTTAATAAATATGAATATCTCAAACAAATTACGTTTGCACATCATCAAGGCTTTTAGAAAATTTCCTTAGAGTAGAGTTATCTTTCCTAAGAAGTTTAGAGGTTTAGACTTTAGAGATCTTTTCACTATTAAGCATACTATTTATACCAAAAGATTGTTATATCTTCTTAGTAATAAAAAGTTCTTAGGGATAAGAATTCTGATAGCCAAAACCATTTTGGATGGTGGGTAGTGAGTTTGGTGCCTAATATATCATCATTTCATGCATTTAGATGGTGAACGAGTAAATTAACTAATAATGCTTTATCACTCTTTTAAGATTTTTTCTTGTGAGTTATTGATCTACTTCATTTCTGAACATTCATTCATACTAAATTACTCACCAAAAATAATTTTCATGAACCTTATTTTCTTTCTTATTCTTGAGAATATTACTATCTTGTTGTTTGTCATATAAAAATAAATCTCATATTGTTGCTCATTGTATATAAAGGATCACGTATTAGGTAAATGGAGGTTATGCAATTAATTTTTTTGGCTTTCATTTCTCTAGATCTCGGAATGGGAGAAAGAACCTATAGCGTGGGAAACACGAAGAGGAACTAAAAGAAAGTATGTGAGTCATTGTTATTTTATTTTGATGATACCCGTCATATATTGTTTAAGAAGCATTTAATTTTTCTTTTTTAGACAACTATACATTGACCATCATAAAATTATGAACAGCAAATATGTAATTATTGATGTAAAGCTAGAGAACTATGATCTAGAACTAAAGTTAGAAAAACTTCATGAAACTGAATTCAAATGATGTGTGTTTAGCAATAGTTCTATCTAACCCAAATTTTAAAAAAACATCTTGAAGATTGTATTAGTAAAATTGAAGTTAAATGATGTTCTTTTTCAACCAAGTGATGTTGCTAAAAAAAAAATAATGTAGCTTGTATAGGACATAATTTTTTGTGATGATATTTTTTGTTATTCATAAAATGATCAATTTTATGTGATTTATGTTGTATTTCCTTCTCAACATTTATATCATTGTATAGAAATTAAGATTGTCTAACTATCATTAATTTCTCTATTCAGGTGTTGTACATTGAGGGATCAGGTGAAAAATTATTCTGTAAAATGTTGTTCACATTATATTACCACAAACTTATATGAAATCGTTCTTTGAAATTTGCATTTGAAGTTGGCTATGCTTAATTATATATGTGTTAGAGGCCCCAAGAAATGGTAATTTGGTAACTCAATAAAAATAATAAAGTAGAAAAATAAAAGAGATAAGAACCCCAGATTTATGTGATTCAGTCAATTAACATATATCTACGGAGAAAGAGTAAAACTTTACTATAAAAGGGATAATTATAAATATCTTACGAAAATATTCTTAGGCCATAAAACACCTGAAACTATTAAACAAGAAAAACCTAAAGTAAACAATTAGATTTTCTTGTGGTGATCTAGCTTCAAAGCTCGGGCCCTTATTTGTAGTTATAATAGAAGATAACAAGCTTGATTTTCTCGAGACTATATAAGACTTGCCAAACTAATAATATGAACCCTATTTTTGATAAAAGAATCTAAAAGTCTTTTATGAAATTAGTTGTAAAGTGTAATCATAGATAAATCATCTTATATATTATATAATTTATTACTGTAGTTGTCATCTGTTGGATAAAACATAATCATTTTCCATAAAAATCTATCTTTTATTGCAATTATTTCCATTGGGCAAAATTATCTGATTGCTTTCACATGATCTATTACTATAGTTATTTTTGTAAAATGAAGCATGATGTATTCTTATGATTGACGATGGTGGAGTGAAACAATATAATACTGCAGTTGAGATACTACAGTAACATGTAGACATTTACATACGTAGGCAAAAATATATTTGGTTATAGTTGACCTATATTACATATCTCATCAGGTTCCCATGGATAATCTAACTTCAATCATTTAACCTATCCAACTTTAATCTTTTTCTTTAACTTTATTATGGGGTAGTTCATCTTCTTCAGTTAGTCAAACTATGGTTTAACCTGAGTTACGTAGTCCATCTTACCTCACTTGGGTAATGTGACTTGGATATCCACGGGTCAAACTGATGAGCACCATTATTAGAAAAAGGTTTCTGGCTGGTCAACTTGAAACCTCTTTGGATCTGATGCATAGAATGTAGTTAGTTCACTACCCTAAGGATTCCACCATTGTCTCATGGGTTTTTACTACTCTATTTTAGACATCAGAGATCGTATGCTATAGCTCTCACCCCAAAGGATGCAAAGTCAGTCATGAAAAATTAAGATCTATACGTAAGAATTTGAGTTAATTTAAGAAAACTTGTAAATAATTCTCACATGATAAGATTTTAGTTAAATTTTCAATGTAAAGTCAACTGCGATCCGTATGAAACTTATGAACTCTCAACGTAAAAGTAGTGTGGCATGAAAAAGTAGCATTTATTTTTTGGTCAATCATGCATGTTTCCTCAACTAGTAAAAGAAAAGAACTGTTTCTTAGGCATACAAGTAGCACAGATTTCTGTGCTGCGTTTATTTCCAATGATCATTCGGTATATTAAGCATGAAACACATCAAGTAAATTGAAGTTGACCATTCGTTCCTTTGTTGCATCTGTCACGGTATTAAGTCAAACAAAGAAGAAACACACCAATCTTTTCTCGTGAGAGGGAGAGGAAGAAGGCAAACAGAAGAGACGAGGTTTAATGCTCTCGCTGTGTTCACGCCCTTATGTCTGCTCCTGGTCCTCGGTGGGTTCAGGCGTTGGCTCGGACGACGGCGGCTGCTCCCCGGCATTCTGCTTCTCCAAAGCAGCCTGGATCACATGGTTGTAGCTGCCCTTCTCCATGAACAGCTGCGCGAAGTGGTGCTTGCAGTAGAGGATGCCGTCGAGCGCGGCGTAGGACGAAGGCGTGAGCATGCAGCCGCCGACGGAGCACTTGAAGCAGGTCTTGTGGTACGACTCTCCTTCCATGGTCATCTGCCACCACAAGCAGCATCAGCAAAACGAGCCTCGTCAAGTCTCTCACCTGTGGTTACTTATCGTGTAATATGGGAGGGTAGAGCAGACCGTTTCCAAGGGGTATGCTGTTTTCTTGCAGGTGGCACACTTGTCTTGAGTTCCACAGAACATGGAGGAGATCTTGGTTGGTGCCTTGGACTGGTAAGATCAAGGTCATATCAGATAACCATCTGCTTAGGGTTTGAATCATGCATGATCGAATTGCCTCACCTGTTCATTCCTCTCTCCAGACTTTGTACCTGAGATCATGTATGAACCTAGCATCAATACTGAAAATCTAATAATCCTACATATAACGCTATTAGATCACTGAAGAAGCATCATGTATCTGATCAGAGACGAAGGGTCGATGAACACCTGTAGGAAACTTTCTGGTGAAGGTTCCTGTCTCCTTGAAGAGCTGCTCAAAGTGAGGTTTGCAGTAGAGGACACCATCCATGGAAGAGTAGTTGCACATCTAGGGAGACACAGACACATCTTAAACAGTAGAGTGCATGCGATGATTAATGCGAAAATATCCACCTCTGCCGATTCTGGATCGAGACGTACCGAGAGAGTGCCCTTGCAGTGACTGCATTTGAAGCAGGTCTTATGATAGGTGACTCCATCGGCGGTCAAGAGATCGATGAAATGGACAGTCTTCTCGCATGCCTTGCATTTGTCCTGGGTGCCACTGAAGGACATGGTGAAGGAACCAAACTCCTGGAGTTCTTCCTGCAATCAATCACAAACGAAGGAGGCCAAGCGAAAACCAAGATTATTAACCTTTTGCATGAAGTGGGTGAAGAAATATGGGAGAATGGGAGGAAACGTAGGAGGTGAAACCGGAGGGATGCAAGCTTCAGACCACAAGACTCAGTCAAACTGATGAGGAGAGGAAAAGGATTTTTTATTTTATTTTATATTATTATATATCTTTTATATATATATATATATGCAGGCTGTATATGCCCTTACAAAATCTAAAAACTTGCATATATGTTACCTAAAGCCTTAAATGACATTAATACTCTTTAAAGGCTTATTACAATTATAAAATATTAGAGTATTTAGAAAATTTATATTATATATTTAATTTGAATTAGCTAGATTTAAGTATAATTATATATGATTGATCTCAATTTTCTGGATGTATGCTAATTTTAATGTTTGCAAGAACAAATATGTTGTCTCAAAATTTATAAGGGTAAATATGAACTTTGTGAGAATAAATATATGTTTTTTTTCTTCTCTTGAATGAACTAAACTCTCCATAAGAGCAGGATAAATATACAAATTTCACAGGATAAGTTCAATTTCTTTTCTGTAATGAGGGAAGAGAAAAGTTCTATCATTCAAGAGAAGGATGAGAACCAATATAAGAAATTTAATCTATTCTATTATGTCCTGTCAATTCCTAGTCCTATATTAAGTGGACACAAAAATAGCCTGCAAACTACATGCATTTCTATGGTTCCTGGCAGAATTTGGAGCCAGTTTTTGAAGAAATCATAATAATTTAATTATAATAATATTAAATTATGATATTTTTTTTTTGAAACTCTGAAAGTTAACATATAGAAGGAGGAACCTATTGACTTATTTATTATATTTGTGTTTGCAAATCTATAAATAAGCAGACGATTGTACCTTAGTCTTGCAAGTTTTGAGATTTTTAATGTAATTAGAGGATCCTAAATTTGACATGTTTTTTATAAAAAGAAAAGTAATTTAAATTTTCTAATCTATAAAATCTAAGAACCATAACATTGATAAGTTTTTATGAATCCGATTAAAAAACTTTAATTAAAAAATTATTGTTTTAACAAAAATTTGTAAATAGCGAAGGTGGGATTGGAATGAATTTACTAGTAAAAATAACTACCTCCAATAAACAATAACTTGATGTATATCTAATCTTAACTCTGACAGCTTCGAAGACAATACTATTCCTGCATGCTTCATTTTTAAAGAAAAGCATGCTAGTAAAGATTGTAAGCTGGTCATGGCTTGCCAGAACTTGACAAAGGTTAAGTAGTTCTTTTGGGTTAAGCACAATTGTCATATGCCTCAACGAAGACATGTAGGAGAAAGATAATATAAAATATATTGAAAGATAATATAGGTAAAAAAAAACAATACAAAAGATCAATAATTAAATGAAAATTATAAAAATATCAGTATTATGTGGTTCGATATTTCTTATCACATCGATGATGAAAATTAATTTCCTTTCTACACGAATGAAAATTAATTTCCTTTCTAATCCTCTTATATAAACCCAAAAATTTTCTTTTTTTTTTATGCTTTATAGCCCAAAGTAAAAAACACTCAAAATATTTTCTCACATCATCGTAAGTCTTTTATATTTGAATTTAGCAAGGATACTAACTCAAGCACAAAAAAAAAAAATATTTCAATTGTCCGAATCTTATGAAGTTCTAAGTCTTCTATACATATAGATATATTTATAAAGCATAAAAATTATGATTATGTTATTATTATACAAAAAATTTTAATGTCAGAAACTAAAATTAAATAATAATATATTAAATCTACAATATTTACCTTTTTGATACTACTCGAAAAGCTTTTATTTGATCTACAATTACACTGTCATCAAATCCGAAGGCTGCGATATCGATCTAAAAGATGAATTAGACTCGTCTTCTTCTCTCTTCTTATTCTTTACCGAACCGCTATAAGCAATGGATTATAGATAAATGAGAGATAAGAGAAAATTTGTAATCTCTCAATAATGGGTTGTTTTGTCCCTAAGAGATCCTATCTTTTTAAAGGTGAGAGCAAAGGATCTAGGATAAATAATTAGGAAAATCTCTCCGATCAAGGTATCTCCTAGGGAATCATACTATAATTGGAATTTCTTTCTATTGATTGATAATCATAATTAGAATCTAATTATATCTATAACACGTCTTACTTAATTAGGTAAAGCCTTATAATTTAAGATTCTCTCACATGACTCATTAATTGGTAAGATATAAAAGAAATTTAAAATTAAAATAAATAAAATAAAATTTTATTTAAAAAATAATTTTACTTAATTGTATTATAAAATTTTTAAAAAATATCTCACACGTACACACAAATTTTATAAAATAAACTAATAAATATAATAATATCATATTAAATTTGACTATTAATGTAACACAATACTATTAGTCATTCCTAATATAATCCAAAATTATCCCTATAATTTATCTTGTCAAGACAATCCTATTATCGCACTCAACCATAATATATGTATACATAAATGTGAACAGGACAGTAAAAATAAATAACTTTAATTACATAAATAAGAATATTAATTATAAAGTTCACTCAAACATACATCATATTTTTTTTTCAAATACTATAGGCCATAAGTCCTAAGTGAATGGATTAATAATCAATATAGTGAAACATAAATTTTAATTGATATTAATTATTTTTAAACTTTTTTGTTGACCATAAAGTACTTTATATCATAATGCATAAAACTACTAGAGTACTTGTCATTCTTACAAAAGAAAATTATTATAGTATATCACAAAGTATTTTAAGTGATTTGGTAATTGAGTTTAACAATACTAAGTCTTGAGATAAAATTTCATAAACATAAAGCCTAATTAGTAGCCTTCACGAATCAATTTCTATTATAAAAAATACAATAATGCATTACTTATTTTTTCTATAAATTATCCTTTAAACTAATAAATATAAAATATAAAGTAGACTTCCTATTATCAATC